AACAAGCAAGTGAATATGTACATTCCCTGAGTAAATATTCTGACAACAAACTATACATTTCTCAATAGAAATGTAATCAAAACTCATTTTAATGCAAAAACAAACTCAAGTTATTAATCTTTCCACAAAAAAATGAGCGAATGTCGGCCATCTATATATATTTTTTTCTTCTCCCAGCTGGAATCTTGAAAGTCACGTGACTAGGACGTAAAACAATAGAAAGCGTATAGGCAGAAGAGATGTAACAGTACCACAAAAAAAATGTCCATTAATGTACCTCCACTACGTTTTGCAGTGTGGAACAACGTAGTGGAGGTACATTTTCCCATGAGACTGGGTTGGTCTTTTACACCCACTTTGCTACCGTCACAATACAAAAGTAGTGACCTTCCCTTTGTTTTAGCGTGCAGGCACTTGGCACTTGTACACAGCATTGTATTTGGGGAGCTTTGTATAGCTTTAATCAACTCTGAACAGCACCTTGTTCACTAAACAATAGGTTAGCAAGTTACTTTTGTCCCTCTGTTGTCGGACAAAGTCCCGTGTGGTTTGCTACTTCCTCACCGCCTCGGCCGTTTCTACACCCACATTCATTGCCATCTCCCTCCATGAATTCCTGGAGTATGTGCTGTCCTTTTAGCATGGAGAACTCGAGTAGAAGAGAAGTGGGTACTTCCTCACTTCTTCGCAGATTCGCAGCACTCTCTGCGGTGACCTACAATTTGGGAGAGGTGCACCAGAGTGTCTGCTGAGAGGGCAGGGACATCTCAGCGTTCACCGCGGCACCTACGCAGACGGCCTAGTTTTGACGTATAAATGAGCCTTAAGAAGACCCTTTGTAAAGCAAGAGCAGCAACAGCTCATAAGACTTAGATTTATTTTGTCATTTTGTATACACAAGTGTTAACCAAAAGAAATTTTGTTAAGAATAGCTCTAGAAATTTTCATTTTATATTATTACTTTTAAAGCTACAGTGTGTAATTTTCAGCGACATCTAACGTCCAGACTGCAGACCGCAGCAACATGAACATCTCCCCCCCATCGCTTCTCCCCCCCCCCAACAGTACGGCGAGCGTTACAGGACAAAATGTCTTCCACGACGTCCGCATCACCTACCTTATCAAGTGACGAGGTTTGTTTACATAGATAATTTTACAGATAGTATTTCATTAGTCTGTGTAGGGTATAGATTTTATGTAGACTTAAGATAATAAATATACCCATTATTTTTTCTACATCGTTGTGACGTTTTGGTGAGCTGCTTTGCATGGTGATATAAACAGACGAAGTAATTGTAGTCATTAGTTTAACAGCTAGATTGTGTTCGCTGGAAGAATATATATTCCCCGTTTACAGAGTCCAAGTCTTGTTTGTGGCACGGGGGTTACAAGGCGAGGAAGAGGGAGAGGAAGAGGGCGAGGAAGAGGGCAGAGAGGCCGGGGTGGGCGTGCAGCCAGGGCCAGGCGAGGGAGAGGTGCCAGCGGGGTGACTAGAGCAGAGGAGGAAAGGCTTGAAGATCTCCAAAGGAGCCGGAGAGAAGTAACCGAGGTATATATCCAGAAAATTATTTTACAGAAAAATTACTGAATCTTTACCTGTGAAACGTCAGGGATGTTGCTGAATAAGTATACTGGAGAGTAACAGCATCATCACGCAGCATGTTATTGTAATGGGCGATCTCGCAATCGCTAGTCTGTTGGCTCTGCGCTGCCATAGCGCAAAGATGTCTGCCTCTATGGCTGCGAGACCCACTCCTATGTAATTATAAATAACGAACACCATATCAATCTCTTTTACTAATGAAATATTGCTGTATGTCATCATGCTACGAAATCCCCAGAAAATTCACGAAATTTTGACATTATTTTATATGTTGATATATTGACGCGGTATCGATCTATTTTACTAACAAAATCTCACAAGAATTTGCAAAATATCACAAGAGTTTGTAACAGAACGATGAAATTTCATGAGATTTTGAAAGTAAAATAGATCGATACCGCGTTTTTAAAAATCAATTTGATATCAGCATATGAAAATATATTTGAGTATATTATTTTTTAAAGTGTCAGAAATGGATAACAAAACTGCTATTTTCAATGACTGCTTATTTTTGTCCAGCTTTAACATCAGTATCAATATCGGTTATCGGCTACATGAGTTTTAAAATATCGGCATATCGGATATCGGCCAAAATCCCAATATCGTGCATCCCTACTTTTAATAGTAAAGAATATGAAAAATCCAAGTTATCTTTTTAATACTGTTGCCAAACTCCCCCAGAGCCATAGCTCTGTTGAACTGTCTATCCTACCTGCTGTAATGAGTTATTCTCCAATCCAATAAATGCAGTATGAAAGAGATGAGATCAGAGACACATGAAATTATTTTGATAATAATCCTCCCCTCCTTGGTGACGCTGTGGAATGCTTGTCTATGATTATTTTTCTGGTGTAGCAACTTGCAGACGGTCCCTAAGCATCTGTGGACCAGCAAATTTTGCTTAGAGTCCAATGCAAAAAAAAATTATCCATTGATGGATTCTTCATAAAACAAAACAAAGCAAAAAAAAAAAAGCAATCCACTTTTTCTTTTGTTGGTCGCCTTTGAAACAACCACTGTTGTTCTCAGTCATTCTCACTAGCCTACCATTATGCTACGTTCATGCCAAAAGCAGCAAAGGCAGCAAAACATGCATGGTGCTTTATATTTAATGCTTGTACAAGTATTTATTTCTTATGCGCTGCTGAAGCATCTCTGCTGCTCTAGCTGCGGAGTGGAAAAGTGGGTCTGATGCGCGGAGCTACCCTATCCTTTGTTTAATTAGCAGCTATATATGCTATGATCAGTGGGAATACAGAAGTTTTAATATGTTTTTAAGTGGGAAAGTCCACATTATAACTTCATCAGCGCAGTCAGTTCATCAAGATTATGATCCTGCCTTCGAATATTATTTCTCTGTCAGAGCCGCTCAGACCCCCACATACCGGCGGTGCGCTGTCACTGGGAAACCCATTCAACAAGAGCCTCTGGCCTGGTCGCCTGTTTGCCGTTTGCCTTGGCGGCTGGAAGGCGTTTTTCATGTAGGTAATCCAAACTGCAGGCAACAGGATAATAAAAGCGAACATGTTTTGCAGTCATATTTTGGCTTTTTAAGTTAATTTAGGCGTTAATAACCTGTTTCAGAGGAGTGATCATAGCGCTCTGCATCAGCAGTGCTGTGTCTGTCTCCCTGCCAGCTCCAAGATCAGCTTCTCCGATTGTTTGAAGTGTTGCATCCAGCAGCAAAAGTTCAATTTTTCCAGCAGTAGTTGCGTTTGCAGCGAGTCCTGCGTGTCAGATGCTCAAAGGCTCATGACTCACTGCTTCAGCTGATCTGACGCTGCACCTGCTGCTCAAAACGCGCTGCTGGACCTTTTGATGCGCGTCAACCATTGACTTTTCATATAAATAGCTGCTTCTGCTGCCTCTGCTGCTTTTGGTGTGAATGTTGCAGGTTGGGATTATTTGGAGACGGGCTGGAGGGTGGGACCTAAAAGCTGGTTTCCATGGTTACCAGCATTTTCTTTAATCAAGTGGGAATGCTTATGCATTTTTCTGTTTTTCTTTATTGTTATTTTTCTGTACGTTTTTAGTTGTTGAACTACTTCCGCAGTTTTCAGCCCATTTCAACAAATTTGGTATCAGAACGTTCAGCTTGTTCAGGAGACTTATGCTATATCTTTTGGTAAAGATATTTTTTGTAGCTTTCGCATATTCAGCTTTTTCTGCGATTTTTCTGTCCCATTGAAATGCATGTAGAATTCTCAGATTTCAGCAAAATTCAGCTAAAACTTCATCTTTGACCTTTAATTGCTTCAGCATACTTTCAGCTAGAAACACCATTCAACTTTTAAAATATCTTTCTGCTATTACTGTTTAACTCGTCTTTTTTCTAAATTTTACAGTTTTTCTTCAGTGAAGCTTCAAACTTTAAAATAAATTTTAACGATTTTCAGATTTATAATGGAAGTCTATGGACGGAATTCTTCAACTGCTAGAGTGTGTGCTCTAGCTTTTGAGCTGTTCTGGTTTTTCCAAACAAATTGTTCTCACTCCCTAATTTTTCACTCAACTGAAATAAATTGTATATCAAAATGTAGGGATTTTTGTCAGGATTCAGGAAATGTAACCCTCATTTGTTTAGCATTTAGAGTTTTCTGACAGTTTGGCCCAGACTATGAAGAAGTCCACACTTCCCCAATAGAAATCTAATGAGAGATTTTCCAAAAATCACAGACAAAATGCAAAACGATACATATTTTCGTATCGCTCCCATTTCTTAACCATTTGATGTACTAACATGAAACTTGGTATACACCATCTCCGGACACTTCTAGCACTCACGTTGAAGGAATTTTTTCAATATCATTTACGGTTTAGCTGTTTAGCTGACTTGTTCGGGCATAGGAAAACGTTGATTCTGAGAAAAATCTTCATACTCAGAAAAAACACATTTTTACATCATCACCGTGACCAAATAGTTTTTAGTAGAAACATAAAAGTTGGCACAGTCGAAGCCGAAGGATGGCTGACGCCAAAAGTGAAATAATTTTTTGAATACCTTTTACCGTTTTGGCTTACCGCTCGTTTGTTCGGAGGGGAAGTTTTGCTTTTGAGACCTCAGCTCTACCATTGAGCTGCTTGTTATTTAATGAGACCAGCAGGAGTGACAAACCTTTTTATTTCTCCTTCCCATTAAGGTTGTGAATGAGCTACAGCCATGAAAGTTACCCCAATCGGAGACAAAGGTCTGAAGTGTCTGAGTGCTGAAGTTTTTAGAGTAAAGCAGAATAAAGACAGTTAAAGTGGAGAGAAAGAGGTGGAACAGCCCTTTAGCTGAAGCAGAAGCTAGCTTTAGCTTAGCATGTTGATCTCCTCTAATGAGTTTTCCAATCAGCTGAGGCTCCAACCCTCAGTCTGCATCCTGAGGGAATCGTTTCTATCAGGTGTTTCCTACCTATCCGGTGTAAGATGCTCTGGGGGATCCTGGTGAAATCCAGCAGTCTGTGCTGATCGTCCATCTCCACTTTGGGTCTTTTCTCTCTTCCTTTAACCTCCGTCAATGTTTCTTCAGCAGGAGTTAACTGCTCGCTGATAAACTCTCCTTGAAGCTTGACTGAACACATTCTCCCTGCAAACACTCACACATCATCAGCCTCTCTACAAACACTCCACGGAGGAAGGAAGCTAACGCTGCTGCTGCGGGCATAGATATCCATAATAAAGGACCCACGGTCTTCTTCATCTGTTATATCATGGCGGATCGCAAGCAACTTTAAGGTGCATACCGCCACCTACTGAGTGTGTAGCACCATTACAAATTCTATTTTTTTGTTTTGTATTCTGTAGATAAATAAATAATGCTTTCTTTAATCTGTGAATATAATTTATTTTTCCTTCATTTCCCAACATTCCTTTCAGACTCCATTCTTTGTCTGTTCTTCCAATTATTCTTCTCAGTTTCTCCCTTTCATGTTCAAAATTCATCAGTAAATGTTCTACATTTTCTTTTTCTCCACTTTCTTCACATTTATCACTATTTTTCCTCCCTATTAAATATAAATTGTCATTTAAACAGGTCTGAGCCACTCTTAATCTGATCATTATTACTTCTTCCCTTCTGTTTCTCTCATTAATGATTCTATTTAATACTGATTTTTGAACCTTATATAATCCTCTTCCTTTCTTCTCTTTATTCCACCTCTTTTGCCATTTTCCCATTTCTTTAATCTTAATAAGTGATTTACCTTCATGTGCTGAAACCCAACATAACCAAATATCAATGCCACCCCTATATAATCTAAATAGACTGTGCTGGATTTCTGATTCTAAATCTATTCTATCATTTCCTTCTCCCTGAATACTTTGTAAAACTGCTTTGGAATCTCTACAGACCACCATCCTGTCTGGTCTAACCTCCTCTACCCATTGTAAGCTTAGTCTACCTGCTGCCATTTCTGCTGCTGATGGATCCACAGTCCATGTTTTGCTAAAAAGTGATCGGCTCAGATCAGGAGCGTCCCGAGGAGGGGCTTGTTTCCAGCGGGAGCCCAGCCTGTCTGTGTTGTTTCTTTTTTTAAATCAAACACTATTCACAGCAGTAAAACAGTTATGTTTGTATGACCAAGGTTACAGCAGATGTGTGTCTTATTTACCTTCCTCTGCTCCCTATTGTTAAATAATGAAGTTAGGTTCCTCTGAAAGCGGCTGCGCCTCAAAACTTCCCTTTCGGTTCTTTTCCTGGTAGCAAGTTATCTACTACTCTTAACTCAAACTGGGTAAAATCATATAAAAAAAGGACTATAAAACAGGAGTAAAAAAGTAACAGAGTTTATTCCAGTTCAGGTGGTTAAAGGACAGAGAAATTGCTTGGAGTTGGCACAGCTGTGGGCTCAAAAAACATCAGCGAGCGTCCGGCAAAGATTAGATTAGATTAGATGAGCTTTATTGATCTCACAGCGGAGAAATTCACTTGTCTCATATTGGCATACAAGTCAAAGAAGGTGCAAACAAGGAGGAAAAGGTGCATTAAAAATAGACAATAAACAATATATATATACAGTATATCCAGGGATATTCAGTATATCAAGGTAAATAAGGATTAAGGTGCAAGTGTACCTGTATCGCACACAATGAAAAACAAAATAAAAATAAGATTGAGCCCCGAACAAGGTCATCTCCTCCTTCTTATACCTCATGAGCCTATGTGTTGCAGCAGGTGAATGCTTTGCTGTCCGTATCAGAAACTGACACGCCATCAATGCCCTGACCTGTATGCGACTTGCTTCTATGCCCAAGAATTACAGATAGCTCCCCTTTATCAGTCCGGCTCCAAGATGTGCCCATATCCTGTATATTTTTAAAGACACAAAGGCTGTCCTGATAAGATGACCTCCGTACACACAGTGACATCCACAATGTGAAGGAAGGCCTTCTACTCTGTCTAATCTGGCTAACAGAATAACAATGCACATGATGTATAAAGAATAAACCTAACACTATGAAGGTTTCATTCCACATGTTTGTCCTCATAAACATCTGCTAATTCTAAACAGGCTTTGGCAATAAAAGGAAACTTTGGATAATCTGCACTAAGTTTGATTAGATTTAAAACTGTCATGTCACTGTGTCATGTCAATAAGTTATTTAAACTAAAATATTTTTTATCATATTTTTTTATGGCGGATATTATTTATAGATTTAAAAAAAACAATGTAAGTACAGATAGTGCATAGGACAAAAAGCCTGATTTCAAGGAAGAATCAAAGTTTAATAATCTTGATTTTAACTCACTATACTAAATAATTTCCTTGAATAGAGAAAATAGTACACCTTAATTTGTCAATAAGTGAAGAACTATTCTATGAATATTGAAATGGAATTCCTTCCTAAATTGACGCTAAGACATTATATTAAACGTACCTTGCTGATCAGCATGACAGATAGGTGGTCTGAAGGGGGTGGGGGGTGGGGGCGCAGGGCTGCTCTAAATGCATCTTTGATGTTAGAGTGAACCAGGTCTAAAGGGTTCTGTCCCCAAGTTGCAAAGTCCACATGTTGGTAAAAATGAAGAACAGGCTTCAAATTGGCCTGTTTAAAACCCCCATGCAATGAGGAAACCACCCTCAGTGTACAGATTGAAGTTCAGAGATAGTCTGAACACTCATGGCCTCTTCATATGACATTTAAACTATCCAAAAATAATTGAGGATATGAACTAGATACCACGTTAGCACTATTAAAAATCTGCCAACACACTCATAATTCATGCAAGTGTTCCTGAAGAACTGCGCAGCTGTTCGAAGCTGACACCCCTCCTAAGTGAAAAAAATTATGTTAGCACTGGGAGGCACATACACAGCAGTGATGCTAACAACAGTGAACTCTCTAGGCAGATACAAAGGTCTGCAGTTAACAGTGAAAAGCTTTATGTCCGGAGAGCAGAAGCTGGTGACCGATCCATGGAGGATGCAGCCTTTAAAATTAAACAAACCCGCTGTCAGTGAAAAGGATGGTCAACCTGATCTTAGCCAAAGATGTCACTACAACTTTGGATGAAGACACCAAATATGATTGGTGAGTGTGGCCATTTCTATTGTTGGACCTCATAAAATATGTTAATAACATGTCAGGACTGGAAACTACTTAGTTAGAAGTTGTTGTTGGGTTGTAAATGCATTTTTATATTTCATATTGTTAATTTTTCAAGCAGCAATATTAACTCTCTTCATTTAACCCATCCCCTTGGGGGGCAGTGGGCTGCCATTGTGTGGCGCCCAGGGAGCAGTTTGGGGGTTAAACTGGAATTTGTCTTGATTTTATCTAAAGCTCGGACCCACATGCAGTGAAGCCAAACAGAAAGACACAGAGTAAAAGTTTCAACGGGTTTTATTGAAGAGTATTTTGAGTTTGGTGCAGAGTTCCCCCGAACTCTGCTCTGCCGGGAAACTGGAAGACGAGGGGAAGACAGACCGTTAGATTCAGGCTCAGTGGGGAATTGGAGTTGTTAATCTTGAAGGAGAGGATTTGTTGCCACTCACGTTTCCAGGGAAGAAGAGACGTAGACTCCAGTCTGTGTGTTGGTCTTCCAAAGTTTGTTTAATTCGGTGGAGGGTGGAACAGGGTTTATCCAGAACTCGGACGGAGTGGAATAATGCAGCCGCTGGTTGCAACCCAGATTTCCTGTGTTACTTGAACGGGTCGTGGTGGAGAGGACTTCCTTACTCAGAGAGTGATCTCAGCGTGCTCAAAGGTGGTTGGATCCAAATCTCCTGTTTGGAATCCGTCGCTCAGTGTAAGACTCAGTTGATCCCACTTGGGAGAAGGCGGTCCGAAAAGGTCCAGTTTGCAGGAAGGGTTTTGGCCAAAAGGCAAAGAACAAACAAAGACTCATGGAGAAACAAGCGCTCAGTAAAACTCAATGTGAACTCAGCTTGGCGAGAGGACAAAAACTCAAAATGCAAAACTCAGATTAGACTCAGCATAAACAAGGCTGGGCTATAGTACCCCAAACTGGCAAACACTCTGGCGTCGAAGTAATGGCAACCAGCAGCTTAAGAGCAGTCATGTAATGGTTTCTGCACTGATTCTGGCCTGATCACTGAGTCCTCGCACCTGCTCTGCTCCACTCATCTTCAATCAGCTCTGACTGGAGTCACCTGCTTCCAGCACTTTAAAAGCCCCATCAGATCTGTCCTCTGTGCCAGATTATCTCAAGCCAACCAGCTACGAATAATCCAGCATCAAGGAAGAACCTGACCGCCTATCTGTTTCCGACCCGATCTGCCCCCCGACTCCGAGCCTGCCCGAACCGTTTGAATCTGCCTGCCTGCTTCCCCCTCTCTGGATCCCTGACTCTGAAAAGCTCCGCCTGACTGCCTGCCTCTCCGTCCTGGATAAAACCGTCTCTGTCTCATTACAGAATAATCTGGCCAACATGGATCCATCTCCAGACGATCAGTGGCGTGCTGGCGTGGAGAGATCTATTTCTCAGTTAGAGGCTGGCGTCAGTGAGATCCTCTCTCATCTCCGCGACCAGGCTCCTCCAGCCGCCTCACTTCCGCAGGCGTCAGCACCTGTCACCGCATCACGCTCACCGCAGCTGTCAGAACCACGCCTGACCCCGCCCGAACTGTTTAGGGGCGATCCGGACCAATGCCGAGCCTTCCTCACACAGTGTGAGATCCAGTTTGAGTTACAGCCATCCGCATACCCCTCTGAACGCTCCAGGGTTGCATATGTAATTTCCCTGCTGACCGGTAAGGTAAGATTGTGGGGAGCTTCTGAATGGCAAAATGACTCTGATATCTGCCACTCATATGACGATTTCTCCCAGGAGATGATCAGGGTTTTCAGCCCCGTGCTACCATGCCGTGAATCCACTAGGGGGCTCCTAACCCTCAGGCAGGGTGATAAGTCAGTTTCTGAGTATATCATTGACTTTCATCTCTTAGCAGCTGAGAGCCGCTGGAATGAGCATGCCCTGATGGATGTTTTTATTACTGGACTAAATGAAAAAATTAAGGATGAACTTGCCACCCGGGATTTCCCACGGTCACTAAAGGACTTGGAGGATCTGGCAACCCGGATTGACCTTCGACTTATGGAACGTCGAAGGGAGCGCCGAGCTGCTAACCAGTTTCTCCCCAGGTCGTTCTCTACTCCAGCAGAGGCTTCACCCCTCCCAAGCGCAGCTGATCCTGAACCCATGCAATTGGGCAGGAGCAAGCTGTCTACTGAGGAGCGTCTTC